ATATTATTACTTATTTTATTATTATTGTAAGAAATTTACTGATGAAAAAATGTCACAACCGCTTAAACATTTCTGATTAACTGCTCTATTAATCATGATAACATTTTGAATTTCTGCTGGGCAGTAAATTTGACATAACTCTTCAGCTGCAGTAGTACTGGGATGCTCACATTTGTTTTATGTTAACTGTGTGACCAGTGATGATAACTGAAGTGCCAAAAGAATTAATTAAATAAATGCACTTTTGAACAATCATTAGTCCTTTTTTATAATCATTACTCATAGTTACTGTTTACCCACACATCAGGTTTGGTCCTGTAATGGTTCCCAAACCTTTTCTGTCATGTACTCCCACAGTCCATTCATCAGCACTTATCATGTTCCAAATGTGTTCTTATGAATGGATTAAACACCAGATGTTATTTAACAATATCAGTTATATAAAAGGAGACATTGTAACAATATTTTTTCATGGAGTTGAATTTTAGTTACCAGTGTGGTGTTTGAATATAGTGGCAGAAGCTGTATGGTTCTGTTTATCCCTTACTTTAAGCTTTAACTATTTCAACTGCTTATCCATTGCTTTTAACTATTAACTATGTATTCATTACTTTTAACTATTTCAACTATTTATCCATTTAGCATGTGTTAGTGGCATGGACCATATTTCATTCACCGTATAAAAGTGGACGTAGCTACTGTGGCTTCACCTATTGGTTTGTGGACTACTGTTTTGAATCTCCTGTAGTTCGGTATTTTGGACGCCACCATTTTAGTTTTTTGGAACCAGAAGTGATTTGGTCTACTGACGGGATACGCATAGAGTGCCTAAGTCCATCGCTTCTGCCCCATGGGACCTTATTTTGGAAAAAATGTGTGTGGTAGTCAACAGCCAGAGACAACTTTTTTTTTTTTAATCGCATTTGAATTGTGCCCTGAATTACACACGTTTGTCAATTTAAAATGTATGTTACGTTGGCAACATGTTAACACAGTAATGCTAGCTAACGTTCATTGCATGGTTGCTACTAGCTAGGGAATTTAGCTACAGTGGGGAGAACAAGTATTTCATAAGTATTTGATACATCAGAAAAGCAGAACTTAATATTTGGTACAGAAACCTTTGTTTGCAATTACAGAGATCATATGTTCTGTAGTTCTTGACCAGGTTTGCACACACTGCAGCAGGGATTTTGGCCCACTCCTCCATACAGACCTTCTCCAGATCCTTCAGGTTTCGGGGCTGTCGCTGGGCAATACGGACTTTCAGCTCCCTCCAAAGATTTTCTATTGGGTTCAGGTCTGGAGACTGGCTAGGCCACTCAAGGACCTTGAGATGCTTCTTACGGAGCCGCTCCTTAGTTGCCCTGGCTGTGTGTTTCGGGCCGTTGTCATGCTGGAAGACCAGCCACGACCCATCTTCAATGCTCTTACTGAGGGAAGGAGGTTGTTGGCCAAGATCTCGCGATATTTGGCCCCATCCATCCTCACGTCAATCCGGTGCAGTCGTCCTGTCCCCTTTGCAGAAAAGCATCCCCAAAGAATGATGTTTCCACCTCCATGCTTCACGTTTGGGATGGTGTTCTTGGGGTTGTACTCATCCTTCTTCTTCCTCCAAACACGGCGAGTGGAGTTTAGACCATAAAGCTCTATTTTTGTCTCATCAGACCACATGACCTTCTCCCAATCCTCCTCTGGATCATCCAGATGGTCATTGGCAAACTTCAGACGGGCCTGGACATGCGCTGGCTTGAGCAGGGAGACCTTGCGTGCGCTGCAGGATTTTAATCCATGACGGCGTAGTGTGTTACCAATGTTAGTATACTTCTAGTGTTAGGGATAAATCCGCCCCCCCAAAAAATACATAAATAACGTTTTGAAATATTTATTCATACAGGCACCACTAATATATTTAAGTAAAATCAAATACCCCCCCCCAATACTTATTTTAAAATAAATTAATGGACTGCCCCTGTTTATATTGTGTGCTGCTAACTTTATCCATTGCCAGTTTCATAATTTATTTGTTAATTTGTTAACCGTTAATGTCCGTAAAGCTTTTAATTTAGTGGGTGAAATCCACAAACATGCTTTAATGCACATGTTAACTTGATTCAGATGTGCTAATGATATATAATCTCATTTTTTACATGTCTTACCTTTAAAACGTGCATCCAATATATATATACAGTATATGATAGCAAATAGCATTTTCTATTTTCTGCATTTTGCAACTCCGCTGCGCTGCTAGCATTTGATGCTAACTTTCCGGAACTATTCAGGCGCTCCATTATCCGCCATAGCTGTGAAAAACTGGTCCACTGGAGTGAACGAGGATGACGCGACTCTTATCTATCAAACTGAGGTTAGCAGTGCACTTTTCCCAGGTGAATGTTTTGTAAAAAACAAAAAACAAACGTTCAACAAGCTCAAGGGCAGGAGCTAAGACTAGCAGTGAAGCTAATCTGGATTGTTGTTGAAAGTTGTATAGCTGGTTGCGAATTGGCTAAATGTGACCATCTGCTCTGCCTATGATACAATGCTGATGTCACTGCTTTATGCAAGATTTGATTGACTGTATCAAAATTAGGTCTCCATCTACATATATGCATACCAGAACAGGATTCCTTTGAATTAATGCAAAATTGGGGCACCCTCATGACAAATATAAAAACTTTATCCCTTTTGGTTTCTCAAAGAAGAACACAGGACAAGTGATTAAACAGAAATGTGTGCTGTAGCAGACAAAAATAAGGAATTTCAGAAAGACTTTAATGCTCAACATGTGGCATTTTGTGTGACAATCTTCATTACTGTTTATGAAAGTCATGTGAGAAGGAAGTAATTATCTGTAATTAATTGCAAATAATGTGGCGTATAATGAAAACTCATCAGACCATAATGACTGTTAATGTTAAGCCTCTCACTTGTTTTGCAATAAAAGCGTTCTGCCTTGTAATAATTAAAAGATCTCAATACTGCCTCAGTAATAATTAAAAGATCTCAATAGTGTTTGACCAGCTGGATGCAAATAAATTAGATCACACTTGGTTGCATGGCATCCTATTCTTTTCCCTTTCTTCTTATTACCCACAGTGCTGGGCCAGATAGTGGTGCAAATCACTTTGATTGGCTGCCACCTGCAGCTTTCAGGCGAGTTTCAGGAGAACCTGCACACTGACTTTGGTTAAAATGGCTTTCATTCTGTGGAGCTGTAATCTATAATATTGTTGCCTTCAGCAAATCAAAACACAGATGCAGTTTCCCAGTGTCAGACAATGCATAGTGCTGATATTGAATTTGGTGCCTAAAATATAACAAGCCCACAGGAATTTAATGTGAAATATGTCCAACCCACTGGTTGTTTCCCCTATTGGGATCTGTACACTCATACTAGACTCACTGGCTTGTTATGGGTTTCCGTTGATCATCTTTATAACAGGAATAATAAGAGGAAGAAAAAGGAAATGCAAAATGTGCAGGTGACATAAAGACAACCCAAGAGGTTTATAACTTGTGAAGGTGGTTTGTCAGTCATCGTGTCAAAACTCAGAATGCAATGTACATTGAGTGATGAAGTAAATTCTTGACTTTAAATAGTAGTTTTACAGCTGAGCAAACTGAAGACCATAAGATAGTACAATTCTTTGCTGTGAAAACATGGCTATGAAGTAACCTCTTGTCAGTCAACTGCATTGATAAGTTTAAAAAAAATGCAGAAATGGCTTGGATATTGAATGGGCAGTTGTAGGGTATGTCCTATTTCATGCACTTTTTTTCTGTGCTGTGCAGAAGGTGCTGGAGCTTTTTTCTTGCCTCTGGAGGGCAGCAGAGCTCAGCATCTCATTGCAGGTTGAGCAGAGCATCAAAGTAACTTTCACCTCTGTCTTCATCAACGCAGTAATTAGATGGTGCAGGGGTGAGCTCCCTCAGTTGATATTTTGGACTTTAAACAAAGTTGTACTTTTCAATATAATTGCACTTCTCCTCACAGTCTGTCCCTCGACACTGCAAATCGGACTGAGGAAAAGATTTTACATCACACTGAACATCAAAAGCTTAAAGCCTTAACTGCAACAGAGGAACAAACTGACTGTCTGATGTCTAGTTAAAATTCAAAATCAATAGTGTCCTGCTTTTTGGGAATACAAATTTGATACCTTAATAGACAGTGTGTATTTGACCAAACAGCTGTCTAGAAGAGATACCACAACACAGCTCAGACAAGTCTGCCAAGCCCTTAAGCCTTCAGGAGGCCGGCAGCCAGGTTCACTGAGAGGTCTGAGTGGAAAGTCTGTGTGTACACAGACACCAGTGAGATATACTGTATTCATGTCACTGTCACAGACCAAGACTGTGTATTTCCCTCTCACCTCTGAAAACACTTGGCCATGAACGGCAGCCACTGCTGCCTGTTTCATGTCCAAACGTCATGGGCTGTATTTGTGCCTGTTTGAGTGCAGCATAAAACAGTGCTGCATTAGAGCCAGGCTCGCAGGGTAGTAAATAACAGATGATGTTCACTCTGGCCAGGTCTACATACCACGACTCTAAACAGTTTCTCTGTGAGTTATAGCTGTTTACTAAAAGCCCTTGCCTTTGTTATTCATATAGTATATGGCGGGGTGTTAGTCAAGTATACTACTGTGGTGAGTGATTGTGATGGCTGCATTTTTGTTCTTGAACTATTGCATAATTAGAATTTTACCCACTTTTCTAAGATATTATATCAACCATTTGTATAATGTATGTTTTGGGAAAAGGTAATTGCACTAAAGCCCTTTCATTCCCCATCTTTTGTGCTAGATTGACTTCCTACTTCCTTCCTGCTGTGCATAAAACATAACAAGGACTGTAGCTGTGAAATGAAAATGATCAACTTTTTATTGCAATCTGTGTCAAATGCACAAATGAAAGTAGGGGATACACTTTCTTCTGTATCTTCTGGGCTCAAAATGTACTTTCTTTCATGTAATAGGAAATAATAACAGACACAAAGCCAGTGATTCAGACTTGAACTTTATTTAACAAACTGAACATAATTAAACCACCTTAAGAATGTTTTTCAATGACTAAAAGAAATCCCAAGCCCAAGAAACCAAAGTTGCGAGCTAATTTTTTTGTCCAAAATGCACAACCCCCACCTTCACTTACTTGCTGGTTTAGTTTTGTATGGATTGCAAATATTTGGTCAAAGTTGAAAAATAGCCAGAATTATGACCATGTACTCACGCCTGATTCACTAGCCTATAACACATATTTAAATATGCACAAGTAACCAATGCTAATGTTACACTTTCTATTGCCTTTTAATACTATGATAGTATATGGCATATAAACAAAGTTTGACATCTTGGGAAACATGCTTATTTGCTTTCTGGCAGAGAGTTGATGAAAAGATTGATACCACTCTCAAATTTATTCAGTAAGCTAATAAGTAATATGCTGAAAACATAATGTCAGAATACTCCACTGAAAGTCCTGCATTCGAAAATGTACATGAAGTATCATCTTGTATAAGCTAATAATGTGTTGTGTGTAAAATCTTAATCTGCAAAGTAACTACTAACTACAGCTGTCAGATAAATTAGTTTTCGAGTAGAAGTTGGCCAATAAAAATTTGGAAATACTCAAGTAAAGTGCAAGTACCTCAAAATTGGACTTAAGTAAAGTACTTCCAACAGTGGAGAGTGTTAACAATTTTCTCATCTGACTCCCCGCCAGAAAGTGAATAAGCGTAATTCCCAAATAAGTGAAAATCAGCTGACAGATGCACAGACACTTTCAGGGAAATAAAGTTTTCTATAATCTTTAACTATGCAGCAATAAAATAAACAATATTCTTACTGTTTGGACACTATAGCCATACATATAAACAAACTGATATTTCTTTTATAGTAGCACTGACAGAATAAATAAACCTCCATAATGTACAGTTAATATTACACTCATCAATACCATTGTTCTATCAAAAAACATTTCACAATGTTTTATTTCTGCTAGGTCATATTTGGTCAGGAGGAAAAACAAAAACCAGGTAGAAATGTAAAGGCTGAGCAACAAAATTCCAGTATTATAAACTGCAGTGACAGAGAGGACAAGGCAATATTTAAACATTTTAGCAGTGAATAAATTCACACACTGAGATTAAGCACACTGAAATATTTGCTTTGTATTGGTAGGTTGTGTGGTTATACCTGCTCACGTCAGAGACACAACCAGGCTTGATTGTACGATGAATGGGAACCCCCAGTGTTGCTCCTGGTTTTCACAGCAAGGAGCCCAACAGACCAAAGTTTGTCCAGTCTTCTCTCTTTTTTATTTTATTTTTAAAGGCACACAAGAAAACTTAACTGTGACTCAAACGTTACACGACCAACTGCTAATTTTCCCTCTACAGCGGCAAGATGACAAGCTTCAACACCATAAAAGAAAAAACAAATCGGCAATTACTGCTTCACAAATTACTGAGTACTGTTTAAGCGAAGCCAAAGTAACACCTGAAAATAGCTTGTATTTCTTAACAATTCAAAGCAGTACATAATGAATGAGATTAGTCAAGTGAAAATGTCCTTGGAGTTTGCTTTTACCGACGGAGAGCAGCACTCAGAAACTGATATGCAAATGAAATTCTCACAAATTGTCCCACAATAACAAGCTACATCCTTGTCACTGACTGCACATGTGAAGTGTTTTTTTTTTCCACTTGAAGACACAGTGTACTTAAATACGTCATCACTGAAAGCAAATATTCATGTTCTTATTTAATGTACATATGAAAGAGAAGTGTGTAACCTGAAGTAAGAGAAGCCATCTGTAACTTACTGTTTCATGGCTTTCTGGCAATGATGAAGTGGTTGATTTGTCATCCTTATTTGCACTTTCACCACTTTAAAAATACTTCCCTGCCCACCAATGTTTATTTGAACGACTTTTGTCCAATTACAGTATCCTGCCGGCTTACTGAGCAGCCAGAGATGGGGGGGACCGCTGCCAAGAAGCAGGACATGCAAAACCATGCAAGTCCCGCATTTTACATGCTTTCATACAAACTCCTCATGTATCCGGTGTGCCTGAGTACACCGCAAAGGTGCCCCTTCTTCCCCTGTCTTCATCCCAAACATAGTACATTCTCTCTCCCTCTTCACTGATTTACATCCTCATTCACCGGAAGCGTGACCTTCTGTGGTGACAACGTTCAGTTTTTCTACCCTTCACACAATTTCACCCTGCCTGAAGTTCACGAGCACAACAGGGAGTGAGATATCAGACGAAACACTTAATTTATAACGCAAGAGTTCGCAGAGTTCCTTTAAGGATTTCTTTATTCTTTAGCTTTAGACATTTTATTGTGTTTTATTGCAAGAGGAACATGTTCCATGCATTTGCAAATGGCTTGTTTTAGAAGTGCTGCAAAGTTCTCACCACAAAAACTTTGTTTGTCTTTTTACTCATTCCTCACTAGCTTCTGGAAGCATTCATGAAATCTTAAATAAAACTATCTTGCCTTGATTTTTTTCTTCTCTCTCAGATTAAGTTCTTGCTCTAAAACAACACCTTTTTTCCCCACCCAGTGCTCTCTGACACTCCTTGATGTCTTCTGCAGCTCTGGACAGTTTTACCTCTTCTAAAACTAGCTAGCAGCAATGCTATCACCAGCAGAATGAAGGGTTACTTTGCAGGAAGTAGGACAGGAGCCTCTTCAGATTACTATTTTCACTTCAACAGACGCATAAATCACAGAGTCACTGGACAATAGTGGGTCAAAATGTGATGTTTGGTGCAAGTCCCAACTGCAATAGCACACATTTTGTTTCCATTTACCACACTGTATTTTTGGATGGTCTCTGATGAGATATCCCAGGCAGGAACTACTGTGAGTTTTCCAAGGATGTGCATTTGAAATAAAATGTTTAAAGGGATGGAGGGAGTCCTGCTGTAGAGTACCTGAGCCAGACTGCACACACGAACAAGTGGGGCTTTCACTTGTGCTGTGTCTGTCTTTATAACGTCTTACATGGCTTTGACAACATCTTGAGCTGAACCTGACGATGAGACACATAGTCTAAACACGAGCCTACGTGCTCCGGTAGGTCTTGATGATATCTTTGATTGTCCTCCTGCAGATGGGGCAGCACGCGTTAGCCATCTTCTTGAGTTTGAGGCCACAGGCGTAGCAGAGACACATGTGTCCACAGGCGTAGAGGACGGTGTCCACCACATTCTCGTAGCAAATGGTGCATTCGTCACTCCATGAGCCCGAGCAGGACGGGAAAGTAGGGGACTCCGGGTGGCTGGAGAACGGGGAGCTCGGGGTTGTACCTGAGGTGAGAAAAAGACATTAGAGATGTGTGCGTGAGTGTAGGAAGAGAAAACAAAACAAAAAAAACAAAAAGCCAAACAAATGGAGGAAGCCTTCCAAGTAGTGTATTGTACTGTGCTGTGCTACGCTCACGTGACACACTCTGCTCACTGCAAAATACATCTATTTAATCAAGCTGTCAATACCCTGACCACTGTTTCTGTTTCTCTGAAAATTAAGCTTCGGGACAACTGTATGTGGGAATAATTGAGTTCCAGTCATCGCTCTTTCTGCCGCCATTATGTGCCAGGTGTTTTTCCTGTCACACCGTCTGCTGCTCGGGACTGCAATGATCACATGTCAGGGATCACCGCTTCACATCACCAAGGTAAATATTTGCTTCAGGTGCCAACATGCGTATTGTGAGCTGATGTCTTGTTGCTGTTCTCTCAGTGTTTGTGTGCTGCTGGCTGTTTTTATTGCTCTCTTGCATGTCTGTATTTTAATCAAATTCAAACAACAAATAAAACTTGTAAACATATAGGAAAAAGGACATCAAGATCTAGACAGGAAACGCACGGCATACATAAATGCTTGAATTAGAGACCACAACCTGGTTTTTCTAGATGTTCATGTAAGAGGGAGGTGAATCTCCGCTGCAAAACTCTAAGTGTCTTTCTATCGGTCTGTGAGATATATTTATTTCTCCTCAATTCTGCAAGGGAATTATGAGAATGGTCTATAAATAAAGAGAGAGAGAGAAGATAAAGGAGTAAAGTGGAGTAAAGTGGAACACTTGGACAAACCTGTGGAGGAAGAAAAGACTGAGTGGTAGTCGGAATTGAGGCTTGAATTGAGGTTGATGTTCAAGGGTGTGTTGAGGTTGGGCTCGGAGTTGCCGCTGCAAAGCATTGTGGGGGTGTTACAGGACGGGGAGCTGGGGACCGACGGGCCCCGAAGGTCTGTGTGCGGAGATGAGCCTGAAGGTACAGAGAGGAGACATCTGGGTCACATCAAAGATTTAGCAACATGCAGATAATCTATGAAAGTAAGAGACTTCGGTGTTCAAAAGAGCTAAATGCAAATGCTTTCAAAACTGGGAATCAACTACTTCCACTCTGAGAAGTTAGTCTGAGCTGATAATTAGCAAATGGAGGAGAGTGGATGTCTTGTTGCATCTCACTCACTGTCTCAGTCTGTCACTCCCTCTCTGTTACACACACACACACACACACACAATCTGTTCTATCTCCAAGCAGATGACTTGTGAGCCCACAGTGTCTGTGTGAGTCAAGAGCCTATGAGTTGGTGTAGCCCTACACCAACTGCCCACTCCCCCACCCTTCATGAGCACATAAGCCCTATGGGTAGGGTACAAAAAGCTTCTGTTGTGTGTCCCATACAATCAGTCCCCATCCGCACCCCATAACCACCGGCTCTGGCATCAGTTCTCATATTGGCAGCTCAGAATACCCACCCCGATTCAACAGACAAATTCTGATCTAGTCTGCCTGGCAGGCACTCGGCATTGTTGTTTACACATTGTCCTTGAACTGACCATGGGAGAAATATTGCTACACTGTCGGCCCATCCATTACTTGGCACCACCGTCCTTCCATGTGTCGAATAATCTAATATTAGTAGTTTACATTCTATCCCACAACTTGCTTATCCAAATTTTCCTACATTGACAGCGTGGAGTGGAGAAACAGCAAAAAAACAAAAACAAAACACAGATGACAAGAAATTGCAGTGAAAAATGAAATACTGTTTGCTTTCAAAAAGAGACATTTATGTGGTCTGTTGTTAGAACAAAAATGTATACAGTTTGTTGCATAACTCTAGCTACGTGCTCTGATCCATTGCTCTGAACTCTTGCCTTTTATTTGGGCCACTCCAACCACTGCAGTCTCAGTTTCAGCCTACGTAAACAAACCATAGTAGCTTTTTAGTCATGCAACGAGTCAAAGTCTGCATGAACACAAGACTTCTGGTAGTCGACACAAAAAGCTTTCCATAATTTGTTGGCATTTAAGGTTAGCACTGGGATCAATGTGTCATTTCAATGGGTCATCTAATATTTATCCTTTAAATTATATATATTTTTTAGAGCAGATAGAGAGTCATGTTTGCATACAGTAGCATTTATACACCCTTCCATTACCTACTTACCATGACCTATGTGGCAGCCCAGCTGTTAGCAAATGTCTAGGTCAACTCTAATAAGGCAGAATGGATAACCTCCATGTCTATTCATGTACCCTTTCATCAGGGGGACCTTTCATCTTTTCTCTCTATGAATTTACTGCTGGCTGTGCAGGAATGAGTATGTGACTGTTTTAGCTATGCAAGCTGTACAGGAGATTTATTTGTATTGAGCACATGTATAGTAGCTTCCAATACTTGCTTATTAAATATAGAGACCTCTGCCACACCCCATCTGGCTATATCTTTTTTCGTGTCTGAAAGAAGTCAGGTTATTTGGCCACTTGGGGGCAGCAGAAACGAAAACAACATCACATTTATAAGCTGATATGGCAAACTTGTTAGCAAACAGTGGCTTATTTACACATCCACCAGTCATGTATCTACATTAGCATCCATTTGGAGTCGTGTTTGTGTCCACTTGGTGAATGCAAGTCCATTATTCATTCTCTTTTGGCTCTGTTTTGCTCTCCACCAACTCCTGTGGGAAATATCTGTCTCTTTAGCAGCTAGCTCAAATGCTTAGCAAATTTAAGATTACAGCTGAGTACATGCAGAAACAAACATCACAGCAGGAAACCTGTAATGAAGAAATAAATGACCACTACTGTACTACTACGGTAGTAATCATTACTCATTACCATTGATGACAACGTTGCCCTGCACGATTGCTCTAAAAGTTGCTCTGTGTATCATCAGCTCTTAGTGTTTGTATGTGGGTGATTTAATGGGAAAATGGATCTTTCAGATCACTTTGAGAAGTACCTATGATCTCGTTCCACCTTTTATTGCGTGCCATGCAATGCTGGGAACTGGTCTTGGTCTTGAATCGGTCTTGCCCTCCCTCGGTCTTGGTCTTGACTGCTCTCAGCCCCTAAAAGTCTTGGTCTTGTCTCGGTCTCAATAAACTCTGGTCTTGGTCTTGACTTGGCTTCGGTTTGGGCGGTCTTTACTACAACACTACACTACTGTACGCAAATGATTCTCCCATGAAATTATAAAATCTTGGTTTCTGAAATAACACGGACAAAATGACCATGTGACAGCAACAGACTCCCATCTGTTCCACTTCACAGGCTTGACAACACCCAGCCATGATAAACTGTCACTTGCCTCAGCGGCTAGATGTTTCCATGGCAACTCGTGGCATGCGGCTACTGCGAGTGGGTGAGCAGAGACGTCACAAATGTACTCCCCACAGCTGGAGTGGGTAATGACTCGAACGTTCATACCCCAAAGAATCAGCAGAGGGGGTGGTGGGGTGGTGGTGAGAGTGCTCACGAGGAAAGGAGGAAGTACAGCGACGATTGCAGGACCAGTGTTGAGGGAAAGAGCTGTGGGTGGAAAACCCAGCATCTCAAACCTCCATGCAATTACATTTTAATAATGCATATGGAGAGCATCATAAGGAGCTGTCACGGCCTCCCTCCTGATACATAATGCTGGCTGCTGGGAGCCCACGCAAGACAGAAATAACCTCCTCAGCCCTGGTCTGACTACATGAAAGAGAGGAGAGGGGAAACTGTAATCCAGAAATGAATTAGAAGAATCAATAAATTTAATGAACCCATGCATTTTGACCAAATTTTTCAGGAAACCTCTTTATACATTTCCTGTGAAAATAAGGCTAACTTGCTGGGAAGGAATCGTTATCAACTTAGCCAGAAGACAACACTGTGGTGGAAGAAGTCTTTATCTGCGGCGACTATAAAAAGCACTCTGAGCGAGTCACACTAAATATTTATATTTTAGGATATAAACTGAAGCTTATTTACATCTTCACTAAAGATGTGTCCTGTATGTCAAGTTTTTTTTTTAATTTTCCAAATTAGGTGAAACTTGCTACAACGTACTTACTTCATGCACAAAGAACTTCCATAACAATTAAACAATAATCTAAAGATCTTCACTGCAAGACAGAGCTTAGAAGTAAACAAACCAGAAAACTATGTTTCTCCAGTGGTCATCAAAAGTATATCTTCAGCCTGTGACCATCACTGCAGCATCTGCACGGCACATAACACACGTGGTCATTTTAAATCATGCCAGAACTTACAACCACTGCTTATCATGAATCCACAATTTTCAATAGCTCCTGAACCTGTTAGCCATTATACGTTCTTATTCTGCTAATTTTCTCAGGCAGTCCTAAACTGTGCATGCAGTCCCACATCTAGGGAGCCAGAATCTCAACACCAGGCGTGATTAAACTTCAGGGTACCTTCAGGTAACACTGCAGTATCGTTGTGTGAAATCTGCTGGAATCAAACGGAGCTGACAGAAATTCTGTTAAACTGACGATACAAACTTAACGCAAACTGTGGGGGTAGAATGTAAATTCCCAAGAGATATACGAGTTGATAAAAAGTCAGAGCAGCCCAGACAGCAAAGGAGGGGGAAACTATTTCATGACTCGGCTGAGTGGGAATTCAACCTCCAGAGTTCATTCAAGGATCACAGACTGCATTAACTTCTGAATGGAAAGTTACAAATGTCACCCTGTAAATATTTGTCTGAATTCCATGAACCGAGATTTAATTAAATAATCAAACTAATGCTAAAATCAATGCTAATAAGGAACCGTTTAACCGTTCTGTTCAAAAAGGACAGTGACTCAGCGGTCAGATGTCCCGATCCCGGTCCCAGCTAAATCTTAGTCTGGCTCTTTGGTTTGGAGGTGTGGGTTTTCTTCTGCAGTCCAACAATACGTAGAACATCAGAAGGGCTGAATCTGAATAGGAATAAGAAGGCACTGGAAATTAATTAAATATAACGTTATATTATGTAGGGTTACAGGTAGTTGTTTTCTGAGAGAATAATAACAAGTTTCCTTTTTCCTGAATATTAATATTTTAAAAATATAGTTTGCTTTGAATTCCCAAACTGATTTACAGGTAAGCAGTTTTTAGGCAATTAACATACAACCTAGGAATAGGTACAAAGATCAAGTGAACAAACCTAAAATCCTGAGTTGTGTGATGGTGCCGTGCAGACCGTAGAACATCCAGAGTGGCCTGGAGTTATCGACACACAGCTGCATCCCTGCACTGATGCCGTTATGGCTCATCATGACCTCGCCTTCAGCGTTCACCACAAAGCCCAAGATGTCGCCACTGTGGAGTGGCACCACCACCCGACACACTGCCCAGAATTCTTTGCGGTCAACCAGGGACTCTGGGTTGGATGGGAGGTCACTGGGCCTCAGTGTGTCTGGGTCACATGATGTCACACCGTAAGAAAGAGACCCAGGCCGTGTGACACCTGCCTTCACCTTCACAAACACAGTCTCTGAGCAGCGCATCGGCCGGCTGGTGAACACCAGCGTCCTCTCGTCACCACGGTGATCCAGCCGCGCCACCGTGTGCTTATCCAGCTCAGTAACATGGACGCCGTGCACAGAGTGGAAGTGGAGATCACTGTCCAAATGGCTGGGCAGCAGTGAGCACTGCTGTGAGTTTTGAGAGTTTTGGGGCACGTGGCAGGACGTGGAGCTTAAGGGTTGTAGCCGTTCCTCTTCCTCATCGTCTTCCTCCAGATGCGTCTCTTGCTGCTGCAGGCTCAGGTCACACAGGCTGATGGAAAGGCGAGGGTCGTCGCCGTTATGGTTAATGGAGGCCCGGTGGGTTGCAGCAAAAGAACGAGGACGCAGGCAGTCCAGGGGGAGCATCTCACTGTCTGTGGGGGGTGAACACCACAAAGGAATGTTATATAATCACTTGCTTGTGGTGTTATGAAGTGAACATTTCACTCAATCAATACATTGTCTTTTTTCTTGCTTTTATTTGGATAACATCATAACTTTATTTAGACTGTGGCACATTTGAGGAAAAAGTGTCCAGAGAACCAAATGTAATTGATGTACCCACTTATTCCCATGCACACCACTGGTTTGTCTGTACGCTGTCCATTCATCATATACCGTCACTATAAACACATGGTGGCTTCCGGCTTCTCTGCTTTATATCGTATTCATTCTAATGCACTCTTTGTACTTTGTACTTAGGCTTGTAGTTCAACAATATGAACAAATACATCAATGTTTACATGTTTAGAAACATATCAGGACTTTGAGTGGGGGCATACTTTAGCTGCAGGCTAGTGGCTACATCACAGCAAAAGAGACATAACACCTTTATGTAACACTGAAGAGATGAGAGATGCACACGAAACTAAGTGAAAGACAGTGAAGCTCAGCTGTGTTTGAGCCTCCCACTCTGTCGTTAGCTCGGAGCCCTGTGAAAATGTGCCACTCATGTTATACCTTATTTTCACTTTTAAATCTTCTTGGAGTGCTACCACAATCGCGAGCTTCAGATGTGAAAACGCAGACATTATGATAAGCTATTAAATCCAAAGATTGGATTTTTAAAAAGGCTAATAAAGCCAGTACACCTGCAGTCTTTGTCAGGGACTGTGTGTATGTATAGTACACAGTAGCTTTCAAATAGCTGTAATGAGCCACCATGACTCCTAGGTGTTCACATAAACTGTCTCAGCAGCAGTTACTTAATGTGCTTATTCTACCTCACTGTATTTTCCGATCATTAAAAGGATAAGGCATTCTAAAAATGGTATCACATGTCTGTGCATGCTATGTAGCCCTCTCAAAAATAGCCCTTCCTATGCAAATCCTGCTCACTGTAAAATAGAAGCCACATGGGAACATCTTTGCAAAAAAGAAAACAGAAAGAGAGCGTGTGTCTTTCCATGCACACAGCCGGTACAAACGGATCTGCATCGTGGCACACTTAGGGACACACTGCCAAATTTAACACGGGCTAAAATTAGCCTGATTGGACATTTGAGGAGAGCGGGGAGGGGACAGGCCAAGGGATGAGTGACATGATGGCTGAGTTGTGTCGCTCCTCGCCTCGATCTGCTTTGGGGTTCCCCTGTGGGAAGTGGATTGAGTGGGAGAGTGCAACAGAGGAGGAGAGGATGAAAAATGGGGTGGGGTGGACACTTGAGAGAAAGGGCATACCTCACCAGCTCCTCTTTATCACACAAAGACAGCACATCTCCGGCCAGCAGCAGATAAACTGCTTGAACTTAATTACTTCCTCAGTCAAGAGTGTCCACAACCAAGCATGAGGCTCGTATTATTAGCAGCCTTATCATCTTCAAGGCAAAGTTAGCCGACTTTGGGATGTAAGAGATAATTTCTATTCTTGCTATTACAGCTTCCTGTGGTTCACAGTTTCTGTTTTTGAGAGTGGCACAGCAGTCAAAAAAGCTGTGAGGAGAATAGTAACATTACAAGGAAGTTTCTACCAAAGATGTACAACAAATAAAAGACAGAACAATGGAAGATAAAAACATGAGACAAATAAATATGTATGACCTCTTCCTGCGTTTAGTCTCAAAGGAGTCTGGGAAAGAATTTCACACATAAAAAAACACCTGGAAATATGAAACACATCCAGTCAGACACCAACATTCACAGCATGGCTGCATGCACCGGACAAATATCTGCCCTCATAAACACACACATAGCAGGGACATGGCTGGAATAGTCCTGTTCGACCTTTCCACACATCATTTATAACAGTGATACTAATCAGGGTACCTGTCCTGTAAAGACAACCACAACACTCCCAGACAGCCCTGACTCTGTACATGGAAAACAAAGAAAGTGGTGTGGACCCTGCCCACAACATTGTTCCAGCCAATCAGCAACAGGTGACAAGTTCAAATATCAGCAATCCTTTTGTAGAATCCCTTATTCTCCGCTTACTCTTTAAGGCTTTAAAATAGCTGAAAGTAATGGCTAAATAACTGAAACAACTGAAAGTAAAGCTAAATGATTGAAAAAGCTAAAAGCAATAGATAAATGGCTGAAATAGCCAAATTTAATAGATGAATTAAATAGTATGTCTGACAAAAAAAGTTGGGAACCACTGAGTTGAGATGTTCCAACAGCACAGACAAAACAGCAAACAAACTTTTTGTAGCTGGGTTGTAAAAACTCTTGTTTTTACAGTTGATAATTCTTCCTTTCAGACTGCTCTCTCATTAAAATGTCACTAACACACTGACAGGTGCAGTCTTGTCTTTTGTCCTCTGAGCATGGTGCCTATAGACAATTCACTACAGCTTAGTGTAATGTTTTTGAGAACATTTGGCGATGCTCCAGTGGTTTTTAGAATAGCATGTCTTGATCATAATCGTCACTATACTCTGCTTTGAATTTTTGAAGTTCAAGTCCTTGACGATTTTGAATAGCAAGGCAAAGTCTGAATCACTTCTTCTGGCACAAAAACAATACAAACGTGATTAAGTGAATGGCTGAAATTGTCCTAGTATAATTAAGTGGTCTTTGAACAGCTCCAGCTACTCAATCTCAGGAGAAAGGCTCTTTTTAAGGAACACATACCAGACTGATACTGTTCTGCAGTTTCAGTGGCTGACCTCTTGGCTTTTTATTAAGCATTATAGCTGTGAGAGAAAAAATCATTAATCAGATTCGCACAACTCTTGCTGAACATTACGGAGGAATTTATTGGATTCGTGGAAGTAAGAACACACCCACACATCAAAACATACCCCTGGGGAAAAATCCTCTACCTGTTTTAGGTTTACACATTCAAACAAGTTGCAACCTTCAGAGACAGACACTCTTAACACGCAATCTGGAAAAACCTTTTTCTGGGAAGTGAATGTGATATTGGCAAAGGAGGATGTCCTGGATATAACTGAAAAACCGGCATCCTGTTTCTCTGTGAAAGCATGCCACAATGACTACTAATTTAATGTATTGCGGTTAAAAAGTTGTTTAAGAAGCGACACTGCCAAAACAAAGAGCCTGTCCCCACCTCATTTTGAAATGGTTTTAAGAGTGCAAGTAAGTTTTTGACCTAAATAACTCAATTCAATTGAGGATTTTTATGTATCCTAGGCATGCAATGGCATCGTACTGAATAGACGAGGGAGGGTTCAGTTTATTCCTTGGACCAGTGGAACAGGATTAGGAGGCTTTTGGGGGGGTTAGTGAAGCTGCAACCTCTGTACAAGGTCAGCTGCACCAATTGTGTGCATGTGTGTGTTTGGGGATTTGCCATAAGTATGCATGCCTAGAGGGCCAGTGCAGGGCTCTGTCAAGAATGAGTGAGTGAAGTCATCTGTCATGAGAAAGGAGATTGGGGAAGGGCTTTTGCTTATCAAAAAAAAAGAAAAAAAAGCGAGGACTAGAGGAGGGAAATCTCTGTTGATGAACTTCTAAGGAATGGTATCCTGGTCAAGATAATGGCACAAGTATATGATTGTGAAACAGGAGGGGCTAAAAAGGCTGGAGAGTGCTACGATATCGATACATGGGAGAAGCTCAGCACTTTGAGTATCTGAGATGCCATGTGTAATAGAAGCCACATATGTGGCGCTTTTGAGAGATCAAGTCGAGTCTCTGGTTTAGTGCCAGATGTTTCTGAGTTTTGGACCGTGACTGTGGAAAGAAAATGGGACACGCTGAGGTGACAAATGGCAAAAACGATGCTCAGCACTTCAGGGATGTCACAAGGGCTCAGCGTTTCCACGACCACTTCTGAACTTCTGAATGTCTCTATATGCACAGAATATAAAGTACACATTCACGTATTCACTGGGACTAGACTCTGGTCATCTGAAAGTAATTAGCCTCTTCTCCAAAGGCTTCCCCCTGTACAGCCCAGCTGCCAGGATCGAAACCTGACAGGCTCCTTCTATTTTGATTTCTCCACAAATCTGTTCAATTCCATCTGGGCCGATTAAATCCCAGCTGAGGCACAATAGCCTGTCCAGCGGCATTTATTTTGGTTCAACAAATCAAATAAATTCCAAGCACTGAGATCACTTGAAACAGAGCTCTCATAAATGCATAGACCTTAATCCCGATGTGTACATGCTGGCAGATGTTAGGTCATAGGAGAGTTCTCCAACATTTTAGTCTATACCAGACATCTAATTTCATTGTAACCAACAGAATGACTTTAGTTCAGTTATACAGAAGGGTCCAAAGGAGAAATAAAAAGGAAAAATTAAGATGGTCTCACAATGGACACAAATAGAACTCCAAATGCTGCTCTGTGTCTGTTGGATGCATAAATGAGCAACCGTTTGCTAACAAGTTCAACTTAAACCCTGACAATATGTTAGTGTTGTCCTCCCAGCTTGTTTCTGCTGCCACCAAGTGGCCAAAACAATCTGTTATTGCAGGTCAAAGAAAGTAAACCATAAAAGATTAAATTGTCTGAAAATGGTGAGAAGTATGTGGCCATAATGTAATTCCCAGACATATACAGAATTGGTTCACTTTGTGTCTTGATGACATTGAATCAAGCTTTGAATCTGTCATGTCTCCAAGTTCAACTGTGGCTGTATAACAAAGCCCCTCATCATTCACCCAATCACAAATCACCATCAACTACCCAAAGCACACTGTATGTGTGCTTAGTATGTTACATGCTACACAGAATACCACAGCAAAGGAAATTCTCCCTACAATACTTCACTGAGTCTGTGAATATCTATTTTTTCAAGTCATTTCTTGGCGTCTTGCTCTGCTCTTGACTCACACCAGCCTCAGAGGCACCGTTACCATGGTTTCCTTCATCCAACGTTTTTCTCTTGTTGATTACAGCAAACGTACTGACGATTTTTAAGAAGGCTTATTATCTTGGGCAAGGTGAACCGCTGTCATCCGT